AGAAAGCTGACAGCCTCCTCACATGTACTTCTAGCCTCTAAAAACCCAGTGGGGAGTGATCAGCTATGAGTTAGTTCCCTTCAACAGAACACAACACCAACAATAACACCATGTGGTAAGAAGTGGTGCTCTAGGGAGCTCTGGTGGCCTAGTGGGTAAGAAGCTGCACTGCAATCCCAGAGGTACACGTTTCGAATCCACTAGATGCTCTGCTCGAGAAGGAGGGGCAATCTCCTCCTGACCAGTCAGATCCGATTTGATGGTACACTCAAAAAATAATAACAACAACAACAAAAAAGAAGTGGTGCTGTAATCCCAAAGGCACAGGGGTCAAATCCACCAGCTGCTCCACGGACAAGGATGGGCACTTTCCCCCCGAGCAATTTACTGCCTCTGAAAACCTGCTGGAGGTTTAGCTATGGGTCGGTTCTGGCTTACTGGTAAACAACAACATACTACATTACACTATACTATACTACACTATGTTGTTGTTGTTATTGTTGTTAAGTGCCATCAAGTCTTAGACAACTCACAGCAACCATATGAACGAAAGACCTGAACACCTGTATGACTTTCATCATTTCTCCACGTTCCTAGGGTTTCCGGAGGCAAGCTATTTTGGAAGTGGATGCCACTCCTGCTTCTGAGCTTGTTTTAATCGGGGAACTCCACCAAACACTGTCCACCATGGGCATTTTTTTTTAAATGGTATTATTGTGTGTGTGTGTGTACCATCAAATCGAATCTGACTGGTACAGGAGGAGATTGTCCCTCTTTCTCCAGCAGAGCATCTGGTGAATTCGAACCACGCATCTCTGGGATTGCAGGGCACATTCCTGCCACTAGGCCACCAGAGCTCCCTCACCAGGGGTAGCCATTATCACATTTGACACATTGTTTAGCAACACAGCAAACACAAGTTACTTCTGTCCAGCAAACAGATCAGTGCTATACCGCTTAGAGGGAGGACCAAAAACAGTTAAACCCAAGCCTGAGGGCCGCTGATTAAAATCACCCAACTTTGGCTTGGTTGCATTACTTTCTATCCATTAGGCCAACAGAGCTCTCTCGTTGTTGTTGTTAAGTGTTGTGCAGTTGCGGCCGACTCATAGTGCCCCTACGAATGAAAGACCTGAACAACGTAGTACACTATACTATACTAATACTATACAAGTAACTTTTGCCCTGCCGATGCAAAGGTAAGCAGTTCAAACCCACCAGCAGCTTAGAGAGGAAAAGATGGACTATCCGCTCCTGTGTGATTTACAGCCTCACGGAAACCCACTGGAGGGTCAACTATGAGTTGGTTCCACTCCACAGGAACGAGCTAAGAGAGTCTATTAAAGGAGCCCTTGGTGGTGCAGTAGGTTAAGCGTTGGACTGTTAACCAGAAGTTGGTGGTTCGAACCCACCAGGAAGAAGAGGAGGTAATCCACACCCGTTAAGGTTCACAGCCTCCACAAGTAAAGCATGAAAAGGGTGCAGGAGGAGCTCTGCTTTTCAGTGAGGACCAGGAATGGACGGGAATGTCGGGATGACGGCTACCGCTCAAACCTGGATCTCGGGGCACCTCGTTTGGATAAACTCACATGTGTACGCCTAAAGACCTGTGTTTGGAGAGCTGTAGAAAGACACACTGCATTTCTCAATTTTGTCTCAACTTTTATTTTTACCCTGGCGGCATTCTTAAGAAAGCAAGGTTGCTAGACTTTTAAAGGTATTTTTAACATGACCTAGATAAGCTCCCATTCAACTAAAAAATCCTGTTCAGGGACTCTGTCTGCAGCAAATATTGTGCCCGCATAGTCTCTGCTTCTCCGGGACCACGCGATAGGGTGGAGACAGGAAAGAATAAATCATTGCTGTGTGCCGTGGAGGGGTGCTCAGGTGCAATGAAGCGGGTCTACTGTTCAAGACGGCTTTCCTAGGCCACTGCCCTTGACTTTGTCACATGGCTGGGCGGGAACGTGCACACAGGGTGTGTTATTCTATACATGAGGGGAATGGTTCATTTCACCATCCCACCAGCTTTAAACTGAGCAGGTGTAGTGGCATTTTGGGACTCTCACGACCAACAAGAAAGGAAGCAGCAGAGAATGAAGTGCATGTCCTTCAGGGCCCGAGATTCCTGCCCCAGGCAGGGGACCACGAGTAGCCACAGCAGAGAACCAGAAACTGTGAGACAGAGCTGGCCTTGGCACTGCTACCCCACAGAGTGCCAAACAGAAGGATCTTTTGCCCGAGCTTGCTGGAGGACTTGGAGTGGGGTGGATGAGATGCTTAAATTGCAGGACTAAGAGAGCTTCTGGAGCTCTGGTGGCCTAGTGGCCAAGAGCTGCGCTGTCAACCCAAAAGGTGTGCGGTTCCAACCCACTAGCTGCTCTGGTGGAGAAAGGGAAGCAATCTACCCTTGTGCAATTAACAGCCTCTGAAAACCCACTGGTGGGTCTGTTCTGACTCTGGTGCACAATTACAAGAGAGCTTTGTTTTTATTTTTTTAAAAATTTTTATTATTTTTGTATGTGTGTACCGTCAAATCAGATCTGACTGGTACAGGAGGAGATTATCCCTTCTTCTCCAGCCGGGCATCTGGTGGATTCGAACTACATGCCTCTGGGATTGCAGTGCAGCTTCTTGCCACTAGGCCACCGGAGCTCCCAAGAAGAGAGCTTTGTAACACTGATCTAAAGCCACAGTGTGAAGGCAGAAAGGTCTATGAGCAAACTTTTTAGTCTGTCCTATGGAGAAACTGTATCCTGTTGCCAATCTGAATTGTAACCCGTTAACTTCTCAAACAAACAACAAAGTCATATGTTTCTATGAGATGTGTGTGGCTACTGAAGTGGATTTTGGTCCCAGGAGAACAGCTGGATTGGTGTTGGAATTAACAGAAAGTCAGAACGTGGGGTGGTCGTGGCTGACCTCCTGGAAATTGGGTTCGCGTTGTGAATAACGGGGAATAATTTGTGGGATTAGCAGAGGTTACACACAGCCATCTATTTCCATGTTACTTTTGCTCGTTTTAGATTGTGTGATGGGAAAACAAACTTATACACCCTCAGAAACCCAATGGAGGGTCATAGAATTGGAACTGACTTGACAGCTGGCAGGTGTGTGTGTGTGTGTGTGTGTGTATGTGTATGTGTGTGTGTGTGTGTGTGTGTGTGTGTGTGTG